GGCCTCAAGTTGCGCCAGGGGAGGCTCAGGTCAGACATTAGGAAGAATTTCTGAAAGGAAGGAGTGGTGGAACATCGGAACATACTGCCCAGGGAGTGTGCAGTCACCATGTTCAAGAAACATGTGGATGAGGCGCTTAGGGACATGTTTAACAGGCAGGGTGGTGAGGGGCTTACGGTTGGACTTGATCTTGAAGAAGGTCTTTTCCAACAGTAATGATTCTATGACATACATATATATATTTATATACACATATAAAAGAATATGAGATGAAGACTGTATGGAAAAAAGCAAAGGAGAAGACAAGACTGGAGTCAGCAAGAGGAGGAATGCATGTGGGAAGGAAGGGTATAACAGCAACCGGTAAAGTTACAGGATGGGTTTTTTTTCTTTCTAGCCACCTGTGTAATTACATATCATCTAGTAGCACCTACAAAAATTTAAGTCCTCTTTCAGACACCATCATAAATGCTGCACTAATTTTTCAGTATTTGCCAAATGTAATAATTCCTCCTACATTTTAAACTACAGTATTTAAATCTAAGCATATTGCTTCATGTGTCAGATTTCAGCTTGAAATGTCTGACATTTTATTTAACCTTTACACTTGGCTGAATTGCACAACTCCTGCAGTTAGCAATATCACATTTGGTCAGAGTCTGTCATATATGGAAATACCCTTGACCCTTGATGAATATCATCTTCTAATACATCTTCTAATAGAGACATTCATTCCATTTTTAAAAGTGAAGAATAATGTAGGCACTAATAAAAATCCACAATGTTTACCTAAATCAAATTTATCATTTTACCCTCATTTTCTTTCCATGCAAAGACAACCGATTTTTCAGTGTTTTCCTCCATCACCTTCCACAAATACTGGAACTTACCCAAACACATTTTAAAATTTAGAAGAATCAAAACAATACTGTTACCAAAGTGGAAAGAGAAACAGAATAATAGTGCTTTACTTAATTATTTATCTTGCTATGTATCCTGAAGACAAGAAGCAGTCCAGCAGCTATACAACACACCTTCAGTTTCATATCTGAAAAAAAGTGTCCAAAGCAACTAACATACAGAAAGTGGATACGGTTGATTCAACACAATTTTTTATCGATTTTTTTAAGGTTTCTGGGTATAATATGCTTTTAAATGGAAAAATGACAACAAAAAATACACTCCTGGGGATTATGTGCTGAATTTTCATTTTATTTTTAGAGACTGAGTTGATCTTCAAGACTTGCTAGAGACTTCTCTATAATGCCGTAATATTTTTACTGGGGAGAACAATGGCAGAATTCATTGTGGTGACTTGAATGAAGTCTTGTGAATTAAAATACCTCCAGAAAATTGTGGATGAATACCAGTAGCTTAGCTCTACACCTAAAATTCCCAGCAAAAGTATTTGCATAAGACGGAAAATAAGGTTTATTATATATATATATATATATACACCTCTCTTCCCCACTACCTCCTGGCACAGAACATTTCTGCTTGTCCCGCAAGCTTTTCTCCATTCTATAAAAAGAACAAGAAAAGTGCTAGTATGCTGATTGCAGCATTTCTATCTCCTCAGAACACATCTATTATTGAGTGGTGTCCAAATAAGATACTAACTAGCTAAAAGCAGATATGCCGGCAAGGCATCCCCTCTCCATTGCAGGCCCAGTAGGAGAGTCATAGTGATAGGCTGGAGATCAACAACAAAAATAAATTATGGATGAAGGTATCTTTAAAAAGACACAAAGAGGAAAAAAGAAGGACAATATATGTTCCAAAAGACTATTTCCAGCCAAGAAGAAACTTGTCACTGCAAAACATTTTCTGTGTAAGCTGAGAGACACAGAAATGACATGCAGTTAATAAAAAAGGTTTCCTTTCTTTTAAATCCAGTTTAGGAAATAACAGTAGAAAGAAAAAGAACATTATTTTTGTGCAAGAGACACTCTTCTCACATGAAGTTGACTCCTGCACTGCCTATACTGTCGTACAGAAAACAAGCCTGGATCCATAGCTCACACAGACTTTCGGTTTCCAGTCAGATGTATATTCTGACTGAAACGTTTTCCATACCCACAGCATTTTTAAAATGTTCCTCCAGTGTAGGAGGACCTGCATATCCAATAATGGATTTATTTAATGCATTCATGTAGAAATATTTCCTCCGTGAGAAAGAAAAAAGTTATTCCCTTCATCTGGCCACATATTTTTGATACAATTCCAGGAACTCCCAACTTGTGAGACCACTCACTGCCTTCTAGTCAGTTTAGACCAAAATTGCCCAGCAGACCCAGAGTTCATGGGGAAGAAGTGTGGGAAAAAGGGGACAAGTGGACAGATATACTTGTGGTGGTGGCATCATAAGACTACTTGTCTTTCATTTCAAAATATTAATCAGGATTAAGTTAATTGCTGCTCAAACTCAGCTTTCAGCAAGCTACCAAAGCTGTCAGCAAGCTTTGGGCATGATCAGTAGCAAACTGTCTTGCACCTGGAAACTTTATATTAAAACAGATTTGTCAATAGACAGCATCTAGATGAGTCTTTTCAGGAACAGACTTGAAAATAAGACTGAATGCAACACTGTACCCAAATGTCCAAAACATCTGTTTGGACAAAGTATCTGCCCAAAATATCACAGCCAATCTGCCCTGATCATATAATACTTCACTAATCAATTTTATTAAAATTCTTTTAGTGTTGCTTTGTGTGTAATTTCTGTTTTTGTTCTTTTTTTTCTCCCCTAAATACCCTTATTAATTATTGTGAGAGTAGAAATCTCTGTCATATACGAATCTTGTTGCTTATTCCACTCTGACATGTGCCAGAAATAGGGTGCCATTCTGCATGGACCAGCTTGGAAGAGTGAGCATGAATTCTGTCTGTGAATTTCAGATATATCAAGTGGCAGCAGAAGCCTCTTGAGACCTCTTAGTGGCTACTCATCTGCTTTCAGCACCACTGCCTGATCCTACATTGGCCTAGAACAGCTGTAAGTAGGCATCATTAAAAAAAATATATATCCATAAAAGTCAGGTTTAGGTTTCAACTGGACCCATTTTTCTGCATAATCCTTTCCCTCATTCTTCACTTTCCAAAGACAGAGCAGGACTAGTTACTGGTTGAAACACTGGAGGTGAAAAGGGATGAAGCATTCACATTGCTCAGTAAGATTTGGAAAAAGGCTGAGGATGAAAAGCTTGTGATAAGCTCAAAGACATTCAGCAAATACAGTCCTCGGAAAGCTCATAAGAACGTGGAAAAGTTCTTTACCGAACAAATCCAAAGCCTGCATGTTTAGAAAGTCTTTTTACATGATCTTTGAGGCACATTTTCAAGAACTTTCAAGAAAAAACACATCCTCGAAACTTTTGTACTTGTTTTTAATGTCAGTGGATAAAAATTACTCCACTGTTTTAGGATTAGAGAAACAAAATATTTTTCACACCTCAGTCTTCTGATGGCAATAAAACATTCTGAATGAAGCTTTCAAAGAAATTCATTATGAGTCAGTCACCTAGCATTTCAGATGAAAGGATAAGAACTTTGATATATCTATAAATAACTGAAGATAACGAAACATGAGGCAATCTCAGTAAGGTTAAGAATACTAAGACTATCTGGAGAACACGACCTGAATTTCACAGACTGCAGAGCATCCTTCCAGTACTAGTGTCCTGTGGGATTCCACATAAAGGTAGACAGAGAGTGCAGGGACAGAGGAAGGCAGAGAGCAGAAGAGGTCAGAAAAAAAAATACAAAGATAAACAACAGAGCTTTCTATCTATCTGTTTCTCCACCAGTGCCTATCATCAAGACACACAGTCTCATGACACCACCAGAAGGGAACAGATCTTTAAAATCATCTGATTCATCTTCACTCACTGGTAAGAAGGGACGAGCTATTAGAACTCAGTTATCCTTCTGCAAAAGGATAGTTCTGCAGCTCTGAACACACAGAAAAAGAAGAGCCAGATAAAAAATATGGAGATATATCACAACTCAGCAACCTCCATAATGATGGAGTATTTTAAATTGTACAATAGTTGTCTATATTAGTGATGGGGTTGGATTACTTCTTACACAAAATTCATTACTGGTGTTCCCACTATGGTAGTTTTTACCTTTCTCTCAATATGAGCTACAACAATACCTACTGAAATCTGACCTAGGGTTTTCAAGATAGTTTCCACTCATTAGAAAGAAAGAAAGAAGGCCAACATAAAGGGTACAATGTTCCCCCAGAACTTACAGGAAATGATGGTCAAAGCTCAAGCAGGCAGGGCTGGGGGGTAGGAGGGAGGAGCTGTTTTAAAATTACTGCCCTTCCCCAGAAAAAGTGATGTCTCAATTAAAATAAGAATGGTCTGTCCATAAAGTAAAAACTAATGCTTTCCTAACACAAAGACATCCTCAAACATTATGCATTTATCCTGAATCCAGAAAAAGCAGCCAACAGCCTTTCAAATAAAAAAGGTTTTAAAAGTTTTTGTACCTCAAAAATCCCAAAAAATATTGGTAACGCAAAAGATCCATTCACAACCGCAGTTTCCATTTTTAAACTTTTACAACAAATTCACAAACATCATGAAAGCAAAGTTTGAATCCTAAAGTACCAGATGTTATGCAAAAGTGGATCATTAATTAAATTACCATTTTGTATGCTGATATTTAACATTACTTTTTTCTTAATCTGACCAGAGTTACTCAGCCTACCAATCACGACATCAAATCACATTTACAAAACCACTCAAAACTGACTGACTTAATGTACACCATGATTAAAAAGCATAACACTAAAGCATCACTTCCTTAAAATGAGAAAAAACTTTATTAAGTGATTCATAGGTGATATGGGCAAAAAGTTTTTTTAAAAAATGCCAACGATCCTTAGTTGAAATAAGAAAAAAGGCAGAAATTCATAGTCAACAAAGTCAAAAAAGTACCCAGAGAATATGTCATTTTTATCCACTGTAACAAAAGCATAACATTCATACCTGCACCTGGAATGATTGCCAACTTTGTTTCAACCAGGCCCATTTTAGCAGAAGAGGCTGAAAATAGGAATTTAAATATGAGTTCTTACTATAATCTGTATGAAAAAAATTATAGGAATATGTAACAGCAGACCTGTCAGTGTGTTAATTTTACATTTGCTTCATAAAATACAAAAGTTGACTTAAGAAATTTTAAAAATCTATAAATAGATTCTAATCACCTCAAAAGACGTAACTAGTCCTACCAGGGCAAGTTGTGCACATTATTGATTTTCATGTAAGACAGGTGATTCACGTCAGCTATCAGAGTAAATAGCAGGCTTATTTATAGAATGTGAAATATTTTAAGAAGTTATTGTTTTTCAACACAAAATGTGGGGAGATGTCTGTTTCTGATGATTATGAATTCTTTAGCTGACTGAATATTCCCTCGGGGTCACACAGCTTTATATACTATGAGTTACTGGCAACTGTTCAGGACTAAGTTTCCATTTATTTCCTAACAAATGGCTTTACAGTTCTGACAGCTGGATAGGTCAAGGTTTCTCTTTTCATGTGTTGTTGTCACTTATTTCACAACTGCTTAATTGCTTGTTTAATAATAAACTCACAAACAAGTTTGCTGGTGCTCTGCAACCTGTTGGTATAAAAACAAGTCCATCTAGAACTCTTCAAGTGAAACGACTATTTTAATAATTAAGTAAAACATCAAAATAGCTACCTAACCCCTCTGGGAATACTGCTAATGATCAAATGAAAAACATACGAGTGAAATAAAGTGAAAGATGCAACAAAAATATTCTCAATATCATTGATAAGTACTATGAAATGAAATATCAGCAATTACTTCAGTCAAGCTTCTGCTAAATCTCCACGGTATAACTGGTCCTAAACAATGTCAGAATACAAAATCAGTCTTAAAAGACTGCTGTCAAGACAAAGATTAGTCAAGCCTTCTGCAACACTAATAATCCTGTTTTGAAATAGTAGCATCTGGTCTTACCTGCCACTCGTATGTCACAGGCTAAAGCAAGTTCTAGACCACCACCTAAGGCAGCCCCATCTATTGCAGCAATAGTAGGTACTGGGAGATTAGCTGAAAAAGAAAGTACCAGTTAACATTTGTCTCACAAACATCATGTCCAGAAGATTATATCATTTTATTCAAACCACAGTAAGACTGGGGGAAAAGTTACCTAAAACAACAATGCAGATCTTAAAACTCATTGTTAATCTTCGAGACAAGAACATTTGAAGAGTCACATACACAAACCTAGCCGTCCCCAGCTGAAAGATAGATGCTCATAATTACTAGCAACCGTGGCATAGCTGGAAGCTCTCTGCATATTAATACCTCCAGATGTCATGTGGCCAACACTAGGGTCCCTTTCTGCTGTAAAGCAGTAGCTAACAAGTAGCTGAGCAGAGTTTGGCCAAGTCTTCAGTCATTTAAAAGCAAAACAAGCAAACAAAAATGTTACACATACACACGATATGTGGCAGAGTCTCCAGAGGTCTCTATGACCATGACAACTTATCATCATTGTTCTGACCTGAGAAATTTAGTATTAAGCTTTCAACTCTAAGGAGTGCCCTTCACCTTTAACAAGTCTAAACTCTTTTCTGCATCATGAACCCAAAGGAAAAGGCATTTTTCCCCACTAAAAATAAACTCATATTTACAGCTTTAGCTATATTTCATATTACATTTGCTATAAACTATGCATAATTTTAAACAATACTGAAAAAAAAGAGTCAAGTGGTATATTCTTGACACTAAAATTTCAAAGACAGTCAAAAGGAATGAACTGTTGGAATTCATTAGCTGAACACTTGGGTGTACAGCTTGGTGAAACGTTAAACCAGCTCTTGACAGCTACAGTTTTTTTTTTCCACAGATGTTAAGAAAATATTTTCTTCACTTTACTGCTTCAGCTACTTGAATAAACTAGCCACTGAACTCAATCTGAGATGGAAACCAAAAAGAAGAGAAACTTGCTGCCAAAATAAATGAAAATGAGGTGTGAGAGTAAGTTCTACCTTTTTAAAATCTAGAAGGATAACATGAACAGAAATGACTGATTTAAAATATTAAATACAAATAACTTTTTTTAGTGAACAAGCTAATTCTAAGTTTCAAATTTGTTCTATTAAGCTTATTTTCCTTGTCTGGCATACATATTAGGCAATTGTTGTGCCCTACTGCTTAACAACACACATATCAAGCTGAGTGAAAAGCTAATTTTTAGCTGTATATTAACATTCTTTTATGATTAATAGCTAATGAGAATCTCCTTCTCTGAATTTTCCTCTCTATTAAATTCTATTTTAAGTTTGAATAGCACTTGTAACTTTTTGTTCTCTTTTTACTTTAAAGCTATAAGTGCTTTTCAAAATTAAAATAGATGCTACAAATCAAAGTATCTTGTTCCATGTTTTAAAACTGGCGATCTGAATCAACTTCAGTGCTAAAAGACTATTGATTACTGTCTACAATATCAAGGATTTGGAGTCATTTTAAAGGCTTAAAGATATTAGATTGGTATCTACAACAGAACAGATAGAAAACAGGGGAACAGAAGTAAAATCTGCTTTTTCACTACCAAGTTTTTCTTAGTGATATGGAAAGACAAAACGAAAAGGCAACTCATTTCCTGCAGAGACAGACTTCTCACCAAAAACTGCAACTGTCCTTGAGAGCCATAAAATAGACATGGCACACTGTGCCATATAACTTAGCTTTAAAAGTTTACAGGTGATAGGGCATTTTCTGAAGAGAAACTTCCTCTGCTACCAGTAGCTGAAAATGAAATGAAAAATCACTTGCCTGAACATGAAGGCATAATCAGCATTAACTGTAGATTACAGGGATTTTTGGCTATATAGATTTTTCCAATCTTGAGAGACAAGCAAATAATATCCTGAGTACTGTTCACATCATTTTTGCAGGACTCTAAGCCAAACTAAGGAGTAATTTCTGGTTTTAGCTATGGTATAATCCAAGTACACGATTATAAACAGAAATAAACTCACATAGAACAAAGCTATAAAATAGCTTGGTTTCAAGAATTGCAACTGCAAATCCTATTTAAAAAGTTTACTAAAATTCTTAATTCACAGGAAGGGAAAACAGTAAGTCACTTAAAGGATATTCATTTAAAGGGAAACCAACCTGACACACAGCAGGTGACAACAGGCAACCCTTTAAAGTATATTCTTTACAATAGCTTTGTCCTACTGCCACATACACATAAAAGAAAGTAAAAAGAAAAAAAAAACTTTTTGAGAACATTAGAAAAAATATGGAAATAAACTAATAATTGCTCTGGATTAATAAATGAGTTTGTAAAGTTTGTAAGTTATTATAACTTAATACCAACAGTAAACCTTCCCGCAACTTTTACATTTTGTACGCAAAAGACACTCGTTCATGTTTATCTTCAGATTTTCAATAAACAGTAGCTAAAATTACTTATCTCATAGCAAACTCTTATTACATAATTGAAGAGGAAGAAAAATAAAGCCCTGTCAAGTTAACTGAGTTTTATGGATCAAATTTTAAAAATCCTAAATTGAATAAAGAGACAGGTCAGTCTCCACAGTGATTTTAAAGGCTCATTTGCTACAAACAACAGGCAAAAACTATTCAAAATCTTGTCCAGCTCAATACTTTTAATCGAAAGCATTCTACAGTCTTCTCATTCCATAGATAGTGATATAATTCAAGATGAGATTTTGCACAACTGATCATTAGACCTAGATCAGATAGAATCATAAGGTCTGTAAAAGAAATTTAAGATATATTTAAAATATACACAAAATAATGACGTGTGTGTAGCTCACATATGTTGTGTATATGCAGAGGTTAATATAGAGGTAACAATTTATAATGTATCTAAATCCAGACACTGACTTCCTAAGTGTTCTTTCTTGTTTCCTAAGTAAATTTAATTACCTCTTGTACGCTCTGTTAGCAATTGCACTACACATCTGCATGGAAGGAAGATAAGTTCTCAAGCTAGGTGGAAAATTTTAAGGTGTAGGCTTCCTACACATCAGTGAGCTTTCTATGAGAGCCACGTATTAATAGCATGATGATAGTTTTAAATAATCAATCTGTAGAGACCTCTGCAATTCCTTTCTTCTTTCCTACAGGTAGGATACAGAGGCATACGTAGCCTCTCAAGTAGCCTCTCAAGTCCAGAAGACAAAAAATTCATAGTTCCGGAAGCAAAAATCCGCACAGTTAGTGCTGTAACCTTTCCATGAATCAATTAAAAAAAAAAAAAAAAAAAGGAATCCCATTCAATCTCATTCAACCTCCATGAGCGCACAAGTTATAAATGGACATAATTAGCTTCTATCTTCAATATTCTCTGCCGTAAACTATTTGAATCGAGATTACTCGCCTTAATCACAGCAGTCAGAATTTGGGATTTAGCAATACTCAAATGGAAGTCCCACTTTCGAACTCTTCCTTTTAGAATATTTGATATGAAATGCCAAACTGAAGCCCATAGTCATGTCACTCCTCAAGTTACTTCCCTTTCAGCACCTGGACCCTGCTAAAACAGTTCTTACTGACAGCCCCAGTTCTCAACTCAGTCATGTGTGGCAACCAGTGCTAAGAAATACCAAAAGCAGTACAGGTCACTCACTACCTTTAGCTCATACTGATCCAGACATAAGATTCATAAGCTCAATTTGTCTTTTCTGTAATTATGAGTATACAGCTAAGACGAAGAATTCTTGTTTTGCAATACCAACTTTAAGAAAGCAGTGCCTGTACTCCTCAAGCTAGAAGTAACAACAGAAGTTACAACAACTAAGCTACAAGTAGCAACAGAATTCAGATTTACGTGGAAGTAGAGTTGAGTTCCAACAGAATAGAATGAGAATCAGAATGGAGAAATATACTTCTCTAAACTATTTATTCCACAGCTACATTTCCAATTATTTGACAAATAGTATTTGCTTAGTACATAACTCACTAGGAAAAGCAACTTCAAGTGTCATTTCTAGCAGCTTCTTTTTCTTCTTGAATAATGGATTCCATAAAGCAACAAAGATGAACTGTCCAAAAACACCCTGCATACTCTGAGTATTATATTGTATACTGCAGGAAAGCATGCTATAAACTGAGGGATACACAAAAAGCTCTGCAATTCATTATCTCACTCAAGCAGATGAAGAAAGTGTGGAATATATTTGCATTCTTATCACCTTTTGAGTATATCATTTTATTATTTGAAAAGAGTATTTTCTAATATCAAATATCTCTAATGTTTTTCTAATAAATAACAATGTTTCAATATTAGTGATGATTTGAAACTACAATTACTACAAAAGGATTTCTATCTAGTTTTAAAATAATTGAGTTCATATGTAAATATTCATGTCCTACAACTCAGTACACCCTAATTTCTCTTCCACCTGCTAATTACCCAGATCTTTACCTTGAGGAGCAAAGTCACAAGAAATTTCTAATTTAAGCTCTTCCTCTCAAAAAATAGCAGTGCACACAACCATGCAAGAACTTGAAGTGTAAAGTCTCAAATGCAAGTCTTGGCAGTCTCCAAGTAGTTAAACAAATTGAACATTCTTTAGTTTAGGAAAACTTTGCACAAAAGTGCACTTTCCTGTAAGTTAATTTATTTCACATGAAGCTAGGACAAAAGTTTTAAAGTGCTGTAACAAACACAGAATACTAAATCCTGATTATGTCTTTTGGGATATCTTCACAAAGAACAACAGCAAGCCACTAAGAGGGAATACAAACTTTGAACTTGAAAAGGAATGTCAGTTGTATTGGAGACATTTATTTTGCCCTGTAATATCTGATACGGTCAGGCAGTCAGTATAATAAAACTCACTTTTTCCATAGGGGAAAAAAAGGATAACAGAAATTAACTACTTCAACAAATGCTTTCAACCATTCTGAAAAATAACCATAACACAAAGAAACCCACTGGAAGAAAAAATAATGCAGCATGTAACAACATATGGCACTGACCAAAACAGACTAAAATAGCTGTCTAATCTCTGAACTTGCAGTCAAAGAAAATTAAGATTTTTTTTTGGAAGGCAGGAATGAAT